AGACGGTACTCGTCGGAACCGTCGTCCGCTCGGCCACTCCGTCCCTCTTGAAACATTTTTTTCGGGTCGTCGGTGTACTTTAATTTTTTTTTTGGACCGATTTGATTGAGCGGATATAAACAATTGTGAAAATAAAACCTATTACTCAACCGACAAGTTTGAATATTTTCTGGATAAGCTGAATTAACTCAACTGGATTGGAATCACCTGCAATTCAGTAGTTCATCTATTTTATGTCCCTTATAGGATAAAGAGTGTAATAATAATGAGTTGGGTATAAATGTATAACGAGTCTCGTCAATTTCTAATCGATTACTAAGAAAAAAAAATGTCGTTTTACCGGTATGTTATATAATACATCAATAAATTATTTATTCGTGTGGATTAAATATTTAATGTGGATTACATTTTATAGCACAATATGCCCATGGCTATGACTTTGGTCATAATACTTCCGCCAAAAATCGAGATGACCGATTTTTCGACAAAACGTCCGTAACGATTTTGGACACGCGTACACATTAAATATTTTATTTTATTTTGCAAAATATCTCTGAGGTAAAATAATTATCGCTGACCGGACGTCAACACGTGTTGGTAAACGCACACTGTTCAATGATATTTATTGGCAACAATATTGCAGTCGGCCTTTAAATAATTTCGCGGTACAGGAAAATCCCAGCGGCGGTGTCCGATATAATAAATAATAATAATAATAATAATAATAATAATAATATTTGCTTTCACTTTTGAATTCCGGCAGTCCGGCATGAATGCGTGATACCTGTTGCTGAGTGCAATGTCATTAATGACTCAGTTTCCTAGCCTGGTGTTGTAGCACGATTTTGAATATTATTTTTGTACCTGTGATTAATAACTATTACCAAGTATATTTTTTTCTGGTATTTAGCAGTGCGAGTTTGTCACTGCTGCAGAGTGTTTCATTTAGTAATACGAAATATTTCAGTCGGATGATGACCTTTAATTAGCATTAGGTAGACATCGGTCAGTCTACACGTTACGTCGATCGGACACAAAATCGGTAAACATCAAAGGAATGTATTATTAATTTGTCAATCGACCGATGACGTACCAGTGTAATACTGGCTATCCTGTGAGCATACTAATAAGTACACATTCTGGGCCAATTTTCAAAATGATTAAATTTGTTGTTACTATTATACCTACCCAAATTCAAATAGTGCAGTTTTTTCAATTTTTTTATATTTAAAAAATGTACTGAGTTGCATACATTCAATCAAACCAAATTCGGAATTTTCAACAAATTTAATTCTCCTTTATTTTAGTCATATTTTATTATTTTTCTTACATACAACTAAAGTAAAATTTCTCTATATTATATGCACCTAACCCAACTTAAATTTACCTACTGGCTACTGTAAGTCAGTCATTTTTTTTTTAAATAGACAAAAAATTTATTTATCGAAGGCGCTTTAAAATAATAGGGCTCTTTTAATTTAGCAACAATAATATATGTTAACATTCAAAATAATATAACTTTAACATTTTGAAAATTGTCAAAGAATGTATATAAGTAATTTAGTATTCTCAATTTTCTCAAAAATACCCACAATCCACATCAATCAATATCGAAGGACATCCGACTGAAATTGTATTTAATGTTAGATACTATTTAAGTGAAATATACAATATTTTTACCAAATAAAAATACACATTCGACACACAAGACACATATCATACACACTCATATCTAATTTATTCAGTTTTGGTGGAATTATAGTTGGACGAGGTGGTGCATTTGACAACAATATAAGTTATCACAGAATAATTATAAGTTTGCCGAAATAAATTTTAGATTCTGAGTGGAACGATGAATGTGTTGATTTTACAATGATGTGCGTTTTTTTTTATTTTTTTTATTTTATTAGTGTCTGTGTACACGATAAGTAGTCGAAATAATGATTAGATTTTCAACTTCAGTATCTTGTTCGATTGGAAAGTGAATATCGTTGGTGCATTGAGGAGGTCAAAATTTAAAATTCCCAGTAATTTTGTTTTAAAATCGAATTTGGTTTTTGGTGTAACTTTAAAACAAATGATAGTAGATACATGAAATGTTCACTGGTTGTTTATATTTGCATTTTATATACACGATAAAACATTTTCAAAATATTTTAATTTATTTTGAACTGTTTATTGACATTTTCATTTTCCATTTTTTTTAGTTTTTTTCTAAAAATATCAATAAAATTGTATTTGTTGGTTAATAAAGCTTAAAAATGTAATAGAAGGCTCCTGGTATATTGTTTCAAAGGCAGATGAAAAATATTAAAAATCCTTAGTCATAGTTTTTTTTATAAGCATTCAAAGTTCAAAAATTGACAAAATATGGAAAAATCACGAAAATTAGCAAATTATTTTGAGATAAGAAAATTTTTCTTTTTAAATCCAAGATTTTAAAATGTAATACAAGATTCCTTATAAAATTATCTACTTTTATCAAAAAAATAAATGTCTATAAGAAAGTCAAATTAAATTTTTATGAGCGTTTGAAATTCAAATTTTTACTGTATTGGATATTCACTCGATTTCTCATGTAGCGATTTCCTTATTTTGTTGTAATTCAAAAACGAATAACTGTAGATATATGAAAATTTCACTGAATGTTTATATTAGCATTTCCTATACACCATACAATTTTGAAAATATTTTGATTCTTTTTGAGCTATTTACGGACATTTACAGTTTTCAATTTTTTTTAGTTTTTTTTCTATAAATATCAATAAAGTTTTATCTGTTGGGCCTAAAAATGTAAAAATTGAATACAAGGCTCCTGTTATATTGTTACAATAGCAATTTAAATATATTAAAAATACAAAGGTACAATTTTTTTTATAGGGATTTAAAAATCGAATTTCGACAAAATTTATCAAATTGAAAAATTATTTTATAGTTAAAAATTTATGAAATGTTCAACTTTTATATCTAAGGTTTGAAAATTTAAAACAAGATACCATGTAATTAGTTTATTCTGTTACCAACAAATCTAAAAAATACACACACTCAGTTCATTTTTAGTCATTTAAAGTTCAAATTTGGGTGAAATTACATAATAAAAAACCTAGAATAACTATTTTAGTTATTTTGTTGTGATGGTATGATATTATTCGTGTTTACTTGAAACTTCTAAAGTACACTATTTTATATCTATGATAGTATCAGGGTTCGTTGTTGATGTATAACTTGTTATAAGTACCTAATAGATATTGTGATAGGATTAATTAGGAATTTATTATAGGTACCTATTATAGGTCAATTTTTTTTAATGCCATAGATAAGTATATAATATGTCTTACACCTAGACTGACATACCGTCTCCGCTCAGAATCGTTTTTCTTATACAATGATATTAAATCATTGAATTAAAATTTAACACCATCCATTATACAGTGACCCACTTGTAACCTACTGTACAGCAGAGCACCTTTTTGAAACTGGAATTTAACAAATATTGAAATATCTAAGATTTCCAACCGAAACACTGTAAAAAGATCTGAAGGTACCTATACTAAGATCCATTAAATAAATATACTATTAAAACAATTGCTATATTTCTAAAACAACATATTACGTTAATTTCTTTATTATATGGCATCAATACTAGATATGCTAAAAAGTAAAAATAATTTTTTAGTGAATTGGCCGAATAAAATAACATCCGAAAGACGTTTTTTAATAATTGCACTCACTAAGCTAATTAATAAGGCTATATGACATAGCGCCAAAGTGAAAAAATGACATAACATTTGTGCCAAAATTAATATTTTATATAAATAGTTATTTAAAAATGTCCATCTTATAAAAAACTGAGAGAGTGTGTGAGCCCACCATTACACTTATTTCATAACTAATTGGGGCCCGTGAAATTATAAGTGAATTAGGGAGAGAGTGAGAAAAATCAATACAATAAAAAAATATGTAATTTAAGATGGACATTTTTGTTTATAAATGGTTGCTACGGACATATACATAAATAAATAAACAAAAAGGCAGGTAAGTGGATGTCGCTCAGCTGTACAGTAGGTTACAAGTTGGTCATTGTTTAATGGATTGTATTAAACTTGAATTCAATGATATAATATCATTGTATAAGAAAAACGATTCTGAACGGAGACGGTTTGTCAGTCTATATATTTTATATTGTCGTTAATTATTTTATTTATTTAATTATTATTTTTTTTATTCGTTGCTACGGTGATAAACAAATTGTTAGAAATTAAAATCCCATTTTAAGCGGTTTTTCGTAATTTTTCAGTACTTTTTCCCGTGGCATTAAATAACTATTGAGAAAATCGAAAAATGACCTCTCTAAAGTACCATCTTGGTCCAATTTGCTAAAAGATAAGGTACTATATGTTGAAATCAAAGCACTCCTTCTGGTAGAAATTTTGTATACAGGATATAAAAAAAAAAGAAAAAAAAAAAAAACACCATTGTAAAACCACTAGCTTCCTTGCTCCGCTCAGAATCTAAAAGTGTCGTTCCATTTTTCGTTATGATTCTTTTTTCACCCACACCTCAAGAAAGAAGTTTTACTTCAAAAAAGTTCAATAAATATAATATAGTATACTTGAATCTCATAATATGCACACCTGCCCAATCTTACACTAATCTTGTCAACGAGTGGAGTTATTCTATATTATATATTGAGACGGTTCTGTCTCGTTACATTATATACATGGAACAAAATTAATATGACGTGCTTGATATTAAATAAGTAACACACATTTAAAGATTTACAACAAATTTACAACCAATATTATACAGACATTATGATATATACAGATTACAGGTAATAGGTTTATGATAACAATATTATATCCAAGGAACAAAATTATTTTTTACAAAATAGTATTTATAGGTAACATAATATTATCTCTAAACTACCTTGATGAACAATATAAGATGGGTGAACTCTCCATAAACACACAGCTTGAACACGTGTCAAACTGCACAGGATGGACAAGGTTTTCCATCCGCCGAATCTAATCTATGTCAGTCGCCTCGAAGAGTCGGACCGGATCTCGTCTTTGTTGACCGACGGCAGTGTACCACACCAACAACACAGTCGCCTGCCGATGTTCAGCAATCACCTCCCGATGGCTGAAAGAATCAGCCTACGCCTAATTCGTTTAGGGGCTGCAGCCCCTTGCAACAGGGCGCCGCTGATAACACGCCAACGTGCTCCGGTTCGTCAATCTGCAGCTGTCCTGGCAGACATATTTCCGTCAACGACGTTGACTTTGACCGGCCGTGGACATATCATCATCAAAGACTGAGGGACAGAACACATCATTGTCGAAGCGATAATCTTGGTCTGCTCAGCCGTTATAAAGAATCTCGTCGGCCTCGGAAAAGTTCGCACAGACAGTACGACGTTCAACGAATGTGACAGTCTATTGTAATCAGATAATACATTTGTCGATTAAAATTAAAAGGAGATTTTAAACGATATAGTTCTAAATTTAATATCTGTTATTTAATATCTATTAACCGTGGCACACAGGTAGGCAAGCCCGGATTAAGGGTGGCAGGGGGGCATGGCCCCCTGTTCTCGATACTTAGAATTTATTTAGGGGCCTCAGATTTGTCCATTACTTTTTTCGTTATAGGCTATAACACTGCATAAATCACATAAAAAAAAATTGATGATTATTTAGAGAGGAAAACAGCTTGTAAATTATATAATTTATGAATAAAATGATACATTATTCATTATTTATTCCTATGTACCTAATACCTATGTATATTTATTATAACAGCCAACAGGCTTGTTCCCACATAATATATATATACATTATTTTTTGTTCGTACAGGGGCATCATTTAAAACTTTAGCCACTGGGCCTCAAAATTTCTTAATCCGAGCTTGCAGGTAGGTTCCTAGAATTTTGGAGCTTTCGTAAGATACGATTTTTTTTTTCTTATCTCATTTTGGCGCTTATTTCTTCCACCGATTAATAAAATACCTACTGATATTATAAATTGTTCACGTGAATTGATTAAAAAAAGAATTTTACTCTGGTTATTATAAGCTTAAGTGATAGAGTATAAAAGTGATAAATTGTTAAACTTTATAAATATATATTTGTGATTCTATATTAGTTCTTTATTTCTATTTCAATTATTTGGTCTATAGGACTCTAGGTTAAGTATTATTATACTTATTAATTATTTGATTTTTTTCTTATTGTATATTTGTTATACCTTATACTATCTTAGTAATTATCTTCATAAACTTAAATAGAATAATGTTTTAGCCGAGACTTATACTATTATTATGTATATTAATCTGGAATATTGTAAGCACTCCTGGGCACCCACGTCCCACACAGGTTTTCTCAGTGGGGCCCAGTATTCACTGTATAAAATTGAAATAAAATAAAATAAATAAATAAAAATATTTTCTAATAATAAGAATCCGATCCTATATATATTATTATGTGAAACATATCCACCAAACACATCTCCTCGAATGTTCCGAATGTCATGTTTTCTGGTAGGAAATTAGTTGGTAATTTGGGTGATCATAAAAAAGTTAATTACTCACATGTCAAAAATATGTATAGGTATTATATAACATTATAAATAAGAGAATTCCTAAAAAAAAGTTTTTTATGGATTATTATTATTAATCATTATAATATATCGGGTGAGCCTGCCACACGGTAATTTCCCGGGCCGAAATGTTTAACCAACTCTTAGAAAACTTAATTCCACCGTATATACATGCCTATACCATAGTCTAAAGGCTTTAAGGGGGCTGCAGCAGATGAAAAAAAAGTGACTTTTAGACCAATAAGCTAGACATAACTGTAAGAACTTGGTTTGACAGATTTTAATTTTGAAAATGGATTATGATTGATCAACAAGTTTACTATAGGGAATGAGTGAGGCGATTTTTAATTTTTTTTCAGCTGTGGTATCCAAGAATAAAAATATCGAAAAAATATGATACTTTTGTATTTATATTAATATATTATTCATTATGACACTAACAATAATTGGAATATTAAAAATCACCTCGATCATTCCCTATGGTAAACTTTTTGATCAATCATAATCCGTTTACAAAATTAAAATCTGTCACACCAAATTTTTCCAGTTTTGTCTAGCTTATAGGTCTAAAAGTCACTTTTTTTCATCGATTGGAGCCCCTGCCCACTTCAGCCCCCTTAAGGTTTATTTTATGATACGGAATTTAAATATATTGAAAAACATTATAACAAATAAAATTAATGTTTAGATTGGTCAAATCTACATTAGTTTTGACTTTTGAAAAAACCTGCTGCAGCCCCCTTAAAGAACTATAACATCACGTATTTGAAGCATTCAAATCTAATAAAAAAAAGTACGAAGACCTAGTTTTATATTTTCCGAAATTGTATACACAAACATTTTCGGCCGTACAATTTTTAAAAATATTGTAATAATTTCGACTGTAGGTTATACTGGAATATAATTATATATATTGGTATAAATATTTATGCAGGCCGATATAGGTACTTTATTATAAATTATAATTTATAATACATTTTATAATAATACGTGTATACCTATTATTTATTATATTATAGGGTACCTCCAACGACGAGATTTTCGAATGAGATTCACAATTTTGGCAGTGAAATCACGACAGTACATGGTTTTAATTAGACACCATCATATAAATATGATTCTATAGTTTCTGTAACATTGTTGTACCAAAAAATAGTTACTGACATTTTTTTACGTACATTAGCAGTTTTTTAACACTGATAATAAAATGGATATTGCATAGCATTGACTACAATTATATTGGATTTTAGGTAGGTAAGTTATACCTATACTTGTAGTTTCATGAATCGTGACAATATTATTAATATTTATTTTTAGATTGCTATTTTGATATAATTTTTGGTTTAAGACTTGACATAAATAATACACGAGGTTCATCGCATTCATAATAGATCTATACGTATAATATACTATCGAAAACTCCTCCCTACAAATTATATTATACTAAATACACTTCTATGGAATTTTTGGTCACGATATTTTTTTTTTTTTTGCACGAAAACGTTTTAAAACGACAATAAAACAAACTAATAAAACAAGCAAACAGTTGGTTTCATATTTTTAATAACAATATAATAATATGCCACACAATACATCTCAGCTCCTTGGTGAGCGATGCAATTTTCTCGGTACATATAGTACCATCGTGTTTTAAATTATTTTTTATGTGAGGAATATAATGAGCTACTTGCCAATACAATGGCAGTTTATGATATTTTTTTTCAATTTAGCCGTTGGATGTTTCGTGCTAATATTTACATATTGTCGTGTAGGCAGGTACACGAACGTGTGCTAGATGTCTTATCTATCATATTAAACGCGTGGTTTGTTATACAATTGTTGCATATTCCCACTAGACATTTTGATGGCTTTAATATTTATAATTTATAAAACCTTTCTCGTGGATTTATAAAATATTCGTTCAAATTAACGAGGTTTCAGACATTAATATTATCTGTCTGGTATATTACAGTGGCGTACGCAGGGGTAGGCTTCTAGGGTTTTGAACCCCCCTGAAATTTCTTCCGTTGACAAAAAAATAAAACCATTTAAATACACAAAGTCGATCAATTGTTGTTCATTTTTAATAGATATAATATAAATTGTTAAATATGACAAAGACGTCGATAATTATAGTTTCAGTTTTTTGGCTAATTTAGAACATTGCTAAACATCTGTCATAACCGTCGTATGGTGTATCATCATGTATCACCGTCCAACGATAATTACCACATATTATGACCCGAAGAGGCTCTATAGATGACCATAGGTGTCAAGATTGAACACTCGAGTGTTATTAATGTAGACTACATTTGAGACTAATTATAATTTGTTATAACCAATTACATAAAAACTATTTAGAAAAAAATTATGTAAATTATTTACTCAGGTGAAACCCTAACCGAACTAAAATCCTGCGTACGCTACTGGGTATACTGGGTGATTCTTTTATCAAACAACACTCATAATGTCAAAAAGTGTAATTTTTTTTGAAAATATTTTTTTACATAGTTTCAAGTCGCTTATAAAACAACGTTTTTATTAAAAAATTATATTTTTAAATATTTTTTATCCTTATAATTTTTTAAGTTTTTACTTTTTTGAATAACAACATAGGGTTTTAATTTTATATTCCAAAACAGAATATTTTTCTTAGTATTTTGATACATGAAAATCGAATTTGGGTTGAGTAGTTTATGAGTTATAAATATTCAAAGTTTGAAGTGGACAAACATTTCGCGGGGTAACCCCGAACCACTCCACTCCGCTCGTCTAAACTTTAAATACTTATAACTCGTAAACTACTCGCCTCAAATTCGATTTTAATGTATCAAAATACTAAGAAAAATATTCTACTTTAGAATATAAAATTAAAACCCTATGTTCTCATTTAAAAAAGTAAAAAACATAAAAAATTATAAGGATAAATAATATTTAAAAATATAATTTTTTTATAAAAACCTTGTTTTATAAGCGACTTGAAACTATGTAAAAAAATATTTTTAAAAAAATTTACACTTTTTTAAATAATGAGTGTTGTTTGATAAAAGAATCACTCAGTATACAAGAGATATCTCTTGAAATTGAAATTGATTTAATGAAAGATTTAATTAAATAACTAAAAAATATAAGAAACGAGTTTAATATTTCACTTTTGCTTAGTATACCTAGCTACTTAATTTTACTTTGTATCAATTACTTATTATTTTTTACAATAACCATAATGAAAAATATTTTTTTATTTTAACATTAATTAAATTACGCTTTATATAATTTTTTATGACATATTAGTTTCATAAATTATAAACTTATAACTTATAAGTAAAAATACATAACTATATTTGCTGTGTAGATTTTAAGTAAAGCTATATTTTAGTAGGATTATCACAAGTCACGGCTTTGAATATAGCGTTCCGGTATCCCTATAAAGTTTTTCGGGATGGCCAATTGTCTCAGAATTAAAATTCAATGATAAAAAGTACGTAACTGTACAGCTGTACACTGTGTGTATTGTGTACCTATGTGGACTTCTTCATTGAGAAAGTCACTGGAATTATGTATGTGTACAATTGATATATTTATATTGCTATTAAAGTAATTTATTTTACTATTAGTAATAAGTTAGGTTAAATTAATTTTTATCGAAAACTTTAGATTTGATTATGTCATTGTGTGAATAAAATTTAATAATATACGTTAAAAATTTAAATTTTCCACGAATAATATTTTGAATTTCAACAAAATTACTATATATTCGTTTTTCTTCGTTTGAATATATAATTTCGTCCAAGTTTGAACTTCAAATGTAAATAAAGCTAAAATGTTTTTTAGATTTTTAGATTTCAGTATGAACCACTTATAAAGAACCTTGTATTAAACTTTCAAGTTGTCTTCTTCTTGTTCCTCTAGGGCTTATAGCTGTCCATTTAGAACCATCGCCGCTTCCAATATACTCATCTGACTTTCCATATCCAACTCCACTTCCATATCCAGCACTGGATTAATTCTCTTCAGGGTTTTCTTAACTGTATCGCACCATTTCTGCCGAGATCTGCCTCTTGGTCTTTTTCCCGTTAGACCGTTGTCTGTGACTTTCTTAATGAGTGAGCCCTCAGCTCGCCAAACGTGTCCCGCCCATTCCAGCCTTTTCCTAGCTAAGAAATGTCGTAGACTTGGTTTATTGTACAGTTGTTGAAAGTCTTCGATTGATCTTCTTTGGTAACTTTCCAAGTCATTATTATATACCAGTCCATATACTTTTCTGAGTATTTTCCTTCGAAACTCTGTAGCCTTTCTTCATCTCCTTGAGTGCTAGACCACGTCTCGCATGCGTACGTCACTGTGGGTCTCAAGTACGTACAGTATAGGCGTTCCTTTGTACGTCTGGAAAGTAACTTGGAAGAAAACATTTCTTTCAGTGTTGTGAAAGTTTCAAGTTTTAGTAATAAGTACAAATTGAATATTTTATACATTTTTAACTAAAAAATAATTTGTATGTTTTTGATGAATTTGTGAAAGTTCTAATTTTAATTTCTTATGAAAAATAACCGTTTCTGTGTATTTTTAATATGAATAAGTAGCCATAATAACTTATGCGAGGACCCTTGTAGGTATTATATTTTTAAGTTTTTTGACCCAACAAATAATTATTTGTTATCGATATTTATAGAATAAAAAATGAAGTAAATCGAAAACTATCCAAGCGAAGACTGTCTAACTTTTTGGTAACCAATGTAACCAATAACAACTTACAAACAATTATAAATAGACGCAATTTTCTACCAGAAACCTCTATCAAGTTTGATACCTAGTCAAAGCATTTTTTCTACACGCACCCCACACAATCCATCAATATGAAACCGAAAAAGCTAGTGGTCGAGGAGCAGGTGCCGGTCGATTACCTGGAAGATTACGACGAGAAGTTAGTACAACTGAACAGGCGGTTGGCCGATACCAGAACCGAGCACCATCGGGCCAGAGATGCCCTGGACGATGGTGAGGCCGACTACGTCGGAACCAAGGAACGGCGTGATATGGTGCTCGGCGAGAACGGCCGCCTGATTGCCGAACGCCAGAAGTCCGTGGATGTGCTGGTGGCCGAGAAACAGCGGCTGGTGGCCGAGGTGAACAGCTACTGGGCCATCGTGGACGCGCTGTACGAGAGCAGGGTCGTTCAGTTCGAGCGGATGTTGACGCGCCTGAAGGAGGATGCTGACTTTGTCAGGACCAGGTTCGATACCGCGGTCCAGAGGATAGAGAACAGGGCCACCATGATGGACAAGATCACTCGGGCGTTGGAGAATGCGAGCAACCTCAAGGTGAGTGCAGTACTCAACTCGACGGGTTGTTTATCACACTTGTGACTTATTACTACCTATCGTAATAATAGCCACAAATAGGGCTATAACCCCCCCCCCCCAAAAAAAAAAAAAAAAATTAATGATTTCATTGCTATAATTTAAAAGCATCATAAGAGTATCAAGTATAGACCTGATCTACAGCTTTCCCAAATTTCAAACACTATTTACGCCTATGATCGTAATGATGGCACTTTTATAGCAATATAAAAGACGTGCCTTATATAATGAATTATGCTCTTACATGATATATATTATTAAAAATCACCCAAAAATGTAGTCAAATAATTATGCAGCGTTCCAAAAACGTAGAAAAGAGCAAAACCGTTTTTGTTTTTTTAAATATAACAACAAGCATTTACAATTAATTTGTTTAACGTTTCATAAAGTAAAATTGTAGTTATAATAGCAGTGAAAATATTTATTATTTTAATATAATATAAACCTAGTTGGTTGCCATAGAGTGGTCTACTAAAAAATAATAATAGTATTCAAATATAAAATTAATATTTAAATTAAAGTTCTAAATAATATGTTATTAATCTATCAATTAAAAAAATGTCTAAAAATATGGCTTCAATACACTGTTGAAGTAGATAATGCTATAATATGTTTCACGACATGCGAAAAAAGGCTTTCGCTGAGCTACAAAAAATGCAGCCCTATTGCCCTATGCCCCTATCATACTACAATATCAACCTGCGTTTTAATATATCATAACTTGAATTTTGAATGCAAGAGATAGTTATATTGTATTCAAGTTTTTAAAATTACTTTATTTTCGTTATTGCAATAATGATATTTCGAGTTGCTATACCTATAAAGGTGATTCGCCAATAGCCAAGTATTCTCACCCTCATTTTTCCTTTAATTTATCCTAAAATGTTTCCTTTAAATTTTTCCATGTTTCTGTAAATTGATTTTTTTGAAAATTACGGATCTAAATCGAAATTCGAAAGAGTAATTTGAAGTAATTTTACTTTATTTACTATAAGGATTAATAAGTCTACGATTATATAGATATAATTGGTTGAAAATTATTGTAATTAATATTAACTTATTAACATTGTATAATTTGTAAAAACTATAAGTACCTATAATAAATATACTAGATTAAATATTACATATATTTTTATATTTTACATCTATATAATATATGCAAAATAATCATCTGTTTAATTAATAATGTATAGGAAAAAGGGGTGGTTCACATTTGAAAAAAGTTAGTATCGTCTCAGGAAACTCCTTGAATGATATAAAATCTAAGTATATCAAAATATGGTCGTTGAGTAGTTAAGTATACAGTAGTACACATACTTATAAGTTATACTTATCAATCTCAAAAATCAGAAATTGAATAAATTCATATTTAAAGTAAAAATGGGGATAAGTATGCTTGGAATAAATCACACCATATATTTTATTTTTTTATTTTTATAAAAATTTTAACGGACCAACGTCCTTATAATAAAATTGCATGTGAATATTAATTCAAAAATAAATATTTAAATAATTAAATATTTTAATAATAGTACATAATATATGAAAAATACATCAAATTTGTAATTAAATTATACATTGGCTTGCGTGTGCACTGCAGGGTACCCAGTACCCACTGCATAATTTGTGACGACGCTTAAGGACCCATTTATTGATGGTTATTTTCTTTAAACACTCAATATTAAAATTTGAATTTCGTTTTCGAAAATAACCTTAGAAATAGATGAACAACTTATAATTTATAGACGAGATACAAAAAGCCATATACAATAGTGTCAATAGGTATATATTATAATTATACATAATATAAGCTTCAGACAATAGTTATTATATTAATTGTATTCAAAAATTCACATTTTATATTTAAACGACGATAAATAGTGATTTTATTACTGGAAGGGTCCAATTTATTGTTTCTGAGGACCCAATAATGTTTGTACCTACTACATGTCTACATATTCCGGTATGAGAGATTCAAACATAAATTATTATATCTCGACAATTAAAATCGTAGTTGCATGTAAGAAAAATTTGACATCATTTAAAATGTTAAAACATATCAGAAACTCATAAATTATATAATATTGAACAACGTTTTTGTAGCAAAAACAACAAGAAGGCATGTACGCCAACAGACAGATATTGGCATGCTCGATGTATAATTACACCGAGGAGTTGGAGAGATATATCGGCAACTTCTTCGAAACAGTTTTATTTGGCAGATCTGACAAACTCAATAGGGAAACATTGCAAAACATAAAAGACTACAACAGATTTGTTAAGGTAAGTGATCAGACGCAATGCGAATAATGCGATTCGAAACGACGATTAATAAAATAATTTGAACCTATATATACCGACAAATCCCGATCACTACCTACATAAAGATTTTTTTTTTATTGAACAAAATTTTATATTTACAATTTTTATTATACGATGAGTAAATTGGATGTGGGTTTATTGGCGTGGAGGGGGGGGCAAGTCGCACCCCGAAAATAATTCTTTTTTTTTTAGTTGACAAAATATAATATAATATTATAATGAAAATAATAATTAATTGTTAATTGTATAAGATATAGATTGTAAATAACATAAAAATAAAAATATGAACACAATATTATGTATACGTCATGACATATTGTGTTATGAGTTAAGACAAAAAATATAAGTCTTAGATATATACATTACAAAATGTAATCTATTATCTAAATATATTATACCACCACTGTCCACCTGTTTTTTATAAACTTATTATATTATCTATTTATATAGTCGTGTAATTTTTGTATACATTTTAGTATGTATACACCTAAGACTTATGTTTTTTTACTTATAAGTTATAATACAATAAATCACGACGTAATGATGATAGGTATACATAATATTGTGTTCATATTTATATTTCTGGGCTTTTTTTCGTGGTCCTTTTTCCTCGATTCATTTAAAATATATATAAAAGCAAAACAGGAACTACTTATTTAATTGATAATATATGCCCTGATAATACAACAAGACAAGATTTGGGTTAGATTTCATGTATTTTTTCCCGTGAATGTATTAACTAAAACACGATTATAATATCTGTGCAGCAATTTGACAAATACAGAAGAAATTATATCCCGGAAAGAAAAGATACGCGATTGGACAAACTGTACAAACAACAAGCCAGAATAAATAGAAAATTGAAAATACAGCAAATGGTGGGAAAAATGTTGAGAAAAAAAAATGTATTGCCGGAGAAGCCGCCATATGTAGGAGTTCATCTTCTTCCAGAACATAGCAATTTAAAAATTGAACCGCAGAGACAAAATTCAGAACATGAACCGCTCGTGGAGTTGGATCCACTGGAATCCGTTATTAAACTAAAAATAAAACAAGTGGAAGAGATAACACAACAGGACATAAAAGTAAGTGTATTAGTGATCGGTTTTCTTTTTAGGAGTAAAGGCCATAGGTGCAATGAGGTTGGGGGCCCCAAATATTTATCTAGCCTCCACATAATTTGTATCTGTAGTCTGTACCTATTATTTTTAATATCATCAATGTCAAAATTTTCTTTAATTTTAACCAAGCAATTTTTAACAACAAGCTATTTTTCATATCACCGAATATCATAATTCATAACGAAGTGATGGAAATAATTTCTTAAAAAAATTTCGACGAATTTCAGGTTTTTTTTAATTTGAAAAAATCGTCTTTTTGGTATAACGATTTTTTTTATGCTTTATAGAAATTTTTTAATTTTTTTTTAATTAAATAGGCCTTAAATTCGTTCACAATTTTTTTTTTAAAGTCATTTCATCAACTCGTTATGTATTATGCTTTTTGGTGATAAGACAAATGTCAAATAGGTTGTTGCCAAAAATTTCCTGGTTAAAATTAAAGAAAAATTTGATATTGATGATATTAAACAAGTAGTTATAGATACTGAAGATGTGTATCTAAATTTATATAAATTGCTACAAGTAGCTTTGATGCTTTCACTATAGGTACCTCGTACCTGTTAGTTGCGCAAACTGCAAACGTTCATTTTCTTCAATTAAAAACTTGTCAGAGAACAACAATGAACAACAATATCGATAGAGATGTAACTAATAGTCTTGACACAGAAACAATATTATTGATACGTTTTCAGCAACTAATAGAAAATCAGTATTGATTTTATATTATTTTATATGATTATTGATATTACTTTATATGTACATTTTGTATTCGAGTAAAAGTTAAATTAAAAATATGTCGAGGTATATAATATTATTTATAATTTTAACTACATTTTTTTAATTCACTACCTATAGTTTTATATATATATATTTGTCTATTGTTAGTAGCAGCCGGTATATAATTTGGGGGTTGTGGGGGCAAAGCCCCTGCGGGTCTGCGCTGCTGATAAAATTTTAGCCCAAAAAAATGTACTCTAGTTCCGCATACGGTAAAGACTTCAGCTTAAATCAGCTACTATAGGCCCAATGGCATACATTTACGTTATAGATGTATTATTTTAAATTAATTTAGCCGAACTAATTATTCTGCAGGGGTGGCTAAACATTTTGATTATACGTTCTACTGAGAATATATTTTTCCGTTAATGATAGACTCACGTAAAAAAAATATTATTTTTATTTTCCAGTCATTATAACTAATATTAATAATAAACATACTTAAACAACAAAAATGTTGATTTATTTAAAAGTATGTGCATCCCTGACAAATTTTGTCAAAATTCAAACTTTAAACAAAATTAATATTTATTTTAAATTACAACACGATAGCAAAAACTGGTTGTTTTATGTATGAATATCCAATTTTGTCAAAATTTAATCTTCAAACGCTAATCAAAATTAAGTCGTAAGACTTAAGTATTTATAATCTAAGTAATCGACATCATAAAATTGTCTTCTAATCGTTATTAATAATTATTAAATTTTTTTTTAAGTGTTAATACTTTCGACCATGGCCCGCCGGAAAACTGAGTATATATTTTTCCCCTTATTTTTCGATTAGTAACAATTATTATTTATTAATAAAATAATATCGTAATATAATTGTTTTGGTGTCAGTGGTTTTGTTATTATTTTTTAAAATTATGTCATGGTAAGGTAGTGTGCATGTATGGTAAACGTCTTTAGATGTTCCCTAGTAGGTTCATTGGCTATATTGAGTCAAATTTGTTATTGCAATATTATTGCCTGTACTCGATAAGCAGAAATCGGTTTATGGTATAAGCATTATTGAGTTGTACCAGTTATTTACTGTTACCACTATTATACAAAATAATATAGTCTATAAAATATAAGATTCTCTATTATCGTTATTATTATTTACGCTTTTTGCCTAGGAAAATGAATCACGAGAGTGGAAATGCAGTTATTTAAACAAATTATTTGACGAAATCAGAACTGTCATGGATAAGGTAAAAGAATACGTAAACGATGAAGGACAACCAACATCGTATGACACGGCTGACTTTGAATGGTTATTGAACAAGGGCGCAGTTGGACACTTTGCTACCTGCAAAACTGCGTCCATACAGACATACGATTATGACGTAAAATTGAATATAAATCAACCATACACAGAGTGTTCCAGAAACAACTCACACGTGTAATTAAATAACTATGATAAAACTTTTTTTCCAATCAATTTTTCAACAAAAAAATGTTTACAAGAAAAATTAATTGGAACAAAAGTTATTACATATAGTTATATTTAGTTACATACTTATTGGATCAGTTCTTTCTTTTACACCTCACACTGTATACTAAACAATAAAATTGATTTTAACATTTTAAATCGTCTAAACGAGTGAATTAGTATAAGGACGTTTTCTCTCCAATACATTTTTAGTCATAAGAGACATCACCCCTCCACCGACATAGGTCATTTTCTCACTATGACGTATACCAGGTATATGGTTATTTGTGGACTGTATAGAAACAGCGACTGTAAAAAAGTGATTATAATAGTATCGACAACCTTACATCATTATTTCACCAAAAATACGACAGAGATATTGATTGTCGGTATATATATAATAATAATAAACACAAACGCAAGATAACTGCAACACGGGTTTCAATGCATTTGTATCATTCGTTTACAATGCTTGACTCGATGATTTCCTAACTACTAAATAATGTGTTTCGAGTTCACAGTATTATAACAACATTTAAAATATTTTTAGACCATTTTCAACCTACCTATTTTAAGTAACTAAAACTGTTATTCTTCGTTTAAATATCTAATTTCGTCCAAATATTAACTTGACATTTCTATAAAAAAAAACCTGTGTTTGTATTATATTGTTTAGGTATTTTGTTTACAGTATGAACTATATATATGAAAACCCTTGTTTTAAATTGTATACATTTTTAAATACAAAAGGTTTTGCACATTTTGACAAAATTTGTTAAAATTTGAACTTCAAACACCCATAAAAAATGTAAGTGACTTTCCGGTATTTTGTAATTTCAAATTTCGATGAATAGCTCAAAAAATGTCAAAATATTATAAACCATTTTATCACCTACAACAAAATGGTATGTAAAAATAGAAATTATTTCAAGTAACCTATGTACTGTGATCGTTTTTTGAGTTACTCCATTGATTACATAATGAAACAAAAATATCGATTTTGTCAAAAACTGGTTTTGTGTACAAAATCTCGTTTTTCCTAAATTTTTTTTGTTCAAATTTCACATTTTTACCTCTTATAATTAGATCCAAAATTGATCAGAAAATACCTACCCACTGAAGTTAAAAATCGAAGAATTTTTTCAACTACTTTTCGTGTATACAGACAAAACAAAATATATAAATAAAAAAAAAAACCACACATCATGGGAATGCCAATATACATTCATCACTGCGCTCGGAATCTAATATTTATTATTAATTAAAAAAACATAATATAATAATAATAATTATTATAATTTATAGTGACGCGTGTGGTGTTCAGAGCGTGTATTTTATTATTTTCCTTATATCCACTGCTGCGGTCGGATAATTGAAAAGACAAAGACAATTATATAATAATAATATTCTGTTGTGCCGAGTTTGGAATAATATTATAAACACACGTAGGTACCTATACATAATATGTGACATAGAACATTAGAACTCGGGCACGCGTGCAAATATTTGTCGAATGCTGAAACCCGTTGTTCACGTGTTTATACTTCATATTATTATTATTATTAAGACAATAGTGACTGCCGACTGGGCACTCTCTTATTCTCCCCACATAATAATACAATATACCTGAGACCTGCAGACTATAATAATAATAATAATGCATCAATGTCTACCTACCTGTTTTTTTCCACGTTCTCGTCTCGCATTATAATATATTATATTATTTCGTACGGCAGCAGCAGAGTTCATTTCGGATCGTTTTTCGTTCGTTTTAAAACCTATAAATTAGTGTTTATTGTAGTTTAATCCGAGCTCGTATAATAATAGGCGTATAATATTGTAGGAGGTTAGGTACCACTACGTTTTTCCGAGCGTCTCCGTCTATTGTTATAATAATAATAATAATAATAATATATAAGGAGCAAAATACCGGGTAGCCGCCGCCAGATGTTCCGTGTTATAAATTATTTTCAAACTTTTTATATTCGAAAATGTTACTCCGTTTGTCTCACTATATAATAATATCTGCACGTGTTGTGCCTTGTTGGTAGAGGTATACTGTATATTATACTGATAAATGCACAATATTCGAGGCTGACCGACCAACATCTGTCGCTATACATAGTATATAATGTATTATATTTTGTTGTTTCGGCTTAACTGGATCAATTTTATTGTTCGGAGTGATTTCACGTGGTCGAAAATAAATATGGTATATTCTAATTTATAGACTATATTATTATTTGTATAGCCATCCTCCAAACCGAGTTCACATAACATTATTATAAATACAAAGAACTGTACCTACCACATACAATTATATTATATTTGTAACATCTTTTGAATTCTAGATTTCAATACAAAAACTAATTACCTATAATTTATTTATCCATCAATATTGAAATATACAATATTTTGTTTGACTCAAAAGTATACGATGGATAATTATTATCTACTATATTATTAGTCAATAAAATGGTAAATAAACAGAGTGATTAAAGAAGCATACTCACCCCTAATTATTCATTTAAGGGGATTGGAAGCGGCGATTTTCTGTCTTTGTCCAACCCACGTGCAACATAGAATTATAGACGTGTTCTATTTCCAACTTACTGATTAATCTAGTGAAGAGATAAGAATTCTGAAAATAGATTTGAATTTGTCGTCAAGTCTTCTTGAGATCAACTTTCCTACATTTTTGATTTTTTGATTTAAACTTCTCCAAAAATTTAAATATGTCAATTTTTTAATTACTCTTCTCAGTGCCGTATCCAGGGGGTGGGCTTTTGGGCTTAAGCCCCCCCCGAAATCTCAGGAAAAATATTTTTTTAGTAATGCGTTATGCGTAATGGGTTCATATCACAGAACAATATCATATTATCGTTCATGTCATAGTAATAATGTTGACGACCTTTTAGTATATTATGGTTGTGGTGACGCGGTAGTCTTATCACCACGTCTTACTCACTCCGCTCGCGTTACCGCGCTATACGCGCCCCATGATAATATATTGATAACAATAATCTTATTCGTGATATCACAAATTGTTTTATAATATAATCTGTGGTGATACGTGGTGATACCATCATAAAATAATGCAATACTCCAATATACCTACTATCATTAATTATCAACATCAATTTGTGGCTTTTTGCTTTTTAGTTTTTACTTTATATTATATTTAGTGAAGTGTGTCAGTTTTATTAGTTTATAAAATGAATGAAAACGAAAATGAACCTAAGAGAAAAAAAACCAAAACATTGTATTCATACTTTAGTTCAAATGTAACTACTTCTGCAAATATTTGCATCAATGAACAGGTGAGTTAGGTACTTAAATATACAGTAATACAGTATATTTAATATTAAATTCATACATATATTTATAAACTCATGAATATTAAATTAATCATCACCAATAACTGAAATATCACACATTAGACCAATACCTAAAATACATACATTTTACCTTTTAGGTCAGTACGAATTTAGGGGCAACTAATGATAGACATAGAGGCAGTATTTCTGTTAACTCAGCGAGCAGAACAAATATAGATGAACATGTTACAGAACCAGAATTGGTATGAATTAAAATGAATTGTATTATGTATCTACCTATAATATAAATTTTTATGTTGAATTTGTTTTTTAATACCAACAGTCAGTACATAATATGTTAAAATCATGTTATGTAAGTTACCTAGTTAAAAACATGTGAAAACCTAAAATTATTATTAAATAATAAATTAATAATAATTCAGGTATTGTAAAAAAGTTTGTTTAATACTGTTATTATCAAATATATTATTTGTGCTTTGTAATAATATAAATGCACAGATTAGGAAGTAGCTTATTTAAATTATTTTTAATGCTTTGCTAGCTTTAAAATTTCTTTTCAATTAATTTTTAGTTTTTCACCTAAATTATTTAGTTGTTTTTAAAATAGTTAACCAGCTACTTGCTAAACAGCTACTTATCAAAATGCCCCGAAGATTTATTCCCACATATAAATATTTTATTAAAACTTCTTGCTATTTTGCCTGTATCAACGGCATCGGTTGAAAGAAGTTTTTCTTCTTTAAAAAGAATCAAGACCTATTTAAGAAACTCTACCGGTGAGGCAAGATTAAACGGATTAGCTCTTATGAATATCCACAGAGACATACAAATTGACACAGATGCTATTTTAAATATGTTTGCGTCTAAAAAGGAAAGGCGTTTAGATTTTAAATTGTGACAATTTAATAATGAATGCATAATACATTAAAAACTATGTGTATATATTATATGTTTTAAATTATTTCCTATTTTCCTATAAAGTTAAGTATGTTTAAGCCCCCCCCGAAAACAAATCCTGGGTACGGCACTGACTCTTCTTAATATATCGTTTTTATGATTTTGGGGGGATAATATCAAACATTTGGGAAAGTCGATCTCAAGTAAACTTGACGACAAATTCAAATCTGCTTTCAGAATCCTTATCACTTCACTAGATTAATCGGTAAGTTGGAAATAGAACACGTCTATAATCCTATGTTGCACGTGCGTCAGACTAAGACATAAAATCGCTACGTCCAATCCCCTTAAAAATAAGTGTTGCTTAAGCTAATTTTGATAATTAAAAATAAGAATTTGTGATAATAACTAAAAGCAATGTTTAAGGTAGGTCTCGACCAACCTTAGTTTAAGTAGGTACCTAATACTTTTTCTTTTTTTAAGCCAATGTCTCATTTATGAATATCATTTGAGTCATAAGTATAGCTTAAGCAATACTTATTCTTAAGCATCGACTGTGACCTATTATAGTGACTCTTGACTGGGAGTTGTTTAAAATGGATAAATAAAATAAATAAATAAATAAAATAGTATAATTAATATAAAATATTCAAATTACCATAGTCCCAATATTTTCCAAACCCGAATTATCATGGCCCTATTATACTTGGGACACAAAGCTAAATACCTCAAAATTTAC